CCCGAATGAGAGATCTTCATCCCGAGGGGGAGGAGCAACCAAAACACGCAGGACCCCCAGTGCAAAATCCGCATGGGGACTCCAAAGAATAGGAATGAACAAAACGATAAATAGGAATGAAGAAAACGATAAATAAGAATGAAGAAAAACGATAAATAGGAATGAAGAAAACGATAAATAGGAATGAACAAAACAATAAATAGGAATGAACAAAACAATAAATAGGAATGAACAAAACGATAAATAGGAATGAACAAAACAATAAATAGGAATGAACAAAACGGTAAATAGGAATGAACAAAACAGGAAATAGGAATGAACAAAACGATAAATAGGAATGAACAAAACGGTAAATAGGAATGAAAAAACGGTAAATAGGAATGAACAAAACGGTAAATAGGAATGAACAAAACGGTAAATAGGAATGAACAAAACAATAAATAGGAATGAACAAAACGGTAAATAGGAATGAACAAAACAATAAATAGGAATGAACAAAACGGTAAATAGGAATGAACAAAACAGGAAATAGGAATGAACAAAACGGTAAATAGGAATGAACAAAACGGTAAATAGGAATGAACAAAACGGTAAATAGGAATGAAGAAAACGATAAATAGGAATGAACAAAACAATAAATAGGAATGAAAAAACAAGAAATAGGAATGAACAAAACGGTAAATAGGAATGAAGAAAACGATAAATAAGAATGAACAAAACGGTAAATAGGAATGAAGAAAACGATAAATAAGAATGAACAAAACGGTAAATAGGAATGAAGAAAACGATAAATAAGAATGAACAAAACGGTAAATAGGAATGAACAAAATGGTAAATAGGAATGAAGAAAACGATAAATAGGAATGAACAAAACGGTAAATAGGAATGAACAAAACAATAAATAGGAATGAACAAAACGGTAAATAGGAATGAAGAAAACGATAAATAGGAATGAACAAAACGGTAAATAGGAATGAACAAAACGGTAAATAAGAATGAACAAAACGGTAAATAGGAATGAACAAAACAATAAATAGGAATGAACAAAACGGTAAATAGGAATGAACAAAAACAATAAATAGGAATGAAGAAAACGATAAATAGGAATGAACAAAACGGTAAATAGGAATGAACAAAACGGTAAATAAGAATGAACAAAACGGTAAATAGGAATGAACAAAACAATAAATAGGAATGAACAAAACGGTAAATAGGAATGAACAAAACGGAGAGTTTTCATTCCCCCCCAAAATTTTGGTAAAATTTTGGTCAAATACATTGGATTGAAAGGGGTAATAATAAGGCATTGTTTGGTTTGTGATGGAGGCGGCAGGCTTGAAATGGTCCAATGGGGCCACAGAAGCTCCCTTTATCTATCCTGAACTTGTTCTTGTGCCGAAAGAAACGCTGTGTGGGCCTCATTATCCTACAATTTCCACTCAAAGAGAAAAAAAAAAGACAGCGAGAAATAGAAGTAAAATAAAAAAGTTGACACGAGTAAAGTTCTCTCCAAAATCCTCCTGATAAGTCCAGGGCAGCTTGATGACACCCTCGGGGGCGGGTCATTGACACCCTGTGCTGACAGGAAGTTACATAGTTACATAGTTAGTCTGGCTAAAAAAAGACAAAAGTCCATCCAGTTCAACCATTAAAAAAAAAAAGTTAGTTATTTATTTATTTCAGGTACTTATATATCGCTGTCAATTTACGCAGCACTTTACATATATATTGTACATTCACATCAGGCCCCGCCCCCGAGGAGCGTACAATCTAAGGTCCCTAACTCACATTCATACATACACATACTAGGGACAATTTAGACAGGAACCAATTAACCTACCAGCACGTTTTTAGAGTGTGGAAGGAAAGCAGAGTACTTGGAGGAAACCCACGCAGGCACAGGGAGAACATGCAAACTCCAGGCAGGTGGTGCCACGGCTGGGATTAGAACCAATGACCCGAGTACTGCCAGGCGGAAATGCTAATCATTGAGCCACTGTGCTGCCCATACAATCCTCCACCCACAGTTGATCCAGAGGAAGGCAAAAACCCAGCAAAGCACGATCCAATCTCCTCCTGCAGGCTAAGCAATTCCTTCCTGATTCCCCGAGAGGCAATCGGATATTCCCCGGATCAATAATCGGATATTCCCCGGATCAATAATCGGATATTCCCGGGATCAATAATCGGATATTCCCCGGATCAATAATCGGATATTCCCCGGATCAATAATCGGATATTCCCTGGGATCAATAATCGGATATTCCCTGGATCAATAATCGGATATTCCCCGGATCAATAATCGGATATTCCCGGGATCAATAATCGTATATTCCCGGGATCAATAATCGGATATTCCCCGGATCAATAATCGGATATTCCCGGGATCAATAATCGGATATTCCCGGGATCAATAATCGGATATTCCCGGGATCAATAATCGGATATTCCCGGGATCAATAATCGGATATTCCCGGATCAATAATCGGATATTCCCGGGATCAATAATCGGATATTCCCCTGGATCAATAATCGGATATTCCCGGGATCAATAATTGGATATTTTTCCGGGATCAATAATCGGATATTCCCTGGATCAATAATCGGATATTCCCGGGATCAATAATCGGATATTCCCTGGATCAATAATCGGATATTCCCTGGATCAATAATCGGATATTCCCGGGATCAATAATCGGATATTCCCTGGATCAATAATCGGATATTCCCCGGATCAATAATCGGATATTCCCCGGATCAATAATCGGATATTCCCGGGATCAATAATCGGATATTCCCGGGATCAATAATCGGATATTCCCGGATCAATAATCGGATATTCCCGGATCAATAATCGGATATTCCCGGATCAATAATCGGATATTCCCTGGATCAATAATCGGATATTCCCTGGATCAATAATCGGATATTCCCGGGATCAATAATCGGATATTCCCAGATCAATAATCGGATATTCCCGGGATCACCTTTCCCTATAAATGTTCTATCCAGTTATATTCTGTGTATCCAAGAAAGGATCCAGGACTTTCCTACAGCAATCCACTGATTGGCCACACCCCACCTCTGGAGGGAGTCTATTCCACATTCTCAGCTCTTACTGTGGAGAAACCTTTCCCGTGTTTGGAGATTTTCTTTTCCTCCAGACGTGAAGAGTGGGTTGGATGAGGACGCCCGCCATTCAACGCAGAAGACACAAGGATCACAGAAATGTTGCCAACATCCCAAACCGATACAAAAAAAGATTTTCCCCTTCGTGGGACTTTAAAGGCAACTCAACATTAGAAATACAAAAAAACATTTTATTACAAAAAAATTCATAAAAGTTCACTTTGCAAAAGACAAATAATAAAAAACATAAAAGGTGGCAAAATACACGGAGTACAAATAAATGGATGTCAGTTTGAGTCCTTCTCAGGATGATGGACAGATGTAGCTTCTTCGGTGGAATATCCGACGCGTTTCAGAAACCATACAGACGTCATCAGGGGTGACTGCAGAAAAGGGTGGTGCAGTCAGACTCATCCAGTATTAATATTGCCATCCAGAGTTAAAAGACTTCTCCGGTTGGTCACCGAGACCACCACTGGTGCCGCTCAATGAGCTCTGTCCAAAAGGGGCCCCAAAGATCCCACACTGGGGTCACCTAATGACATCCAAGACAGACAAGGGGCCAGTATGGTGGAAGGTGATGGCCGCGCCCCGGAGATCACGCATCACATTGTACTTCCTCAGGGGAAATACGTTTTCTGACGCGCGTCGGATATTCCACCGAAGAAACGAGATCTGTCCATCATCCCGAGAAGGACTTGGAATGCTCATCTCTACATCACGTATTTTGCTGCCTTTTGTGTTTTTTACTATTTGTGAACTTTTGTAATAAATTACTTTCTGTATTTTTATTGTTGAGTTGCCTGAAAAGTCCCAGAAATCTTCAGCACAGGAGAGGGATCACTGCAGGGCACTGCGGGGTCAGAGGGCATAATGTGGGGAGCAGCACCGGAGACATAGATATATACTGTATATACCAGAGGCGGACTGACCATTTGGAAACATGGGCACTGCCCGAGGGCCCGGGGTCAGTAGGGGGCCCCATGAGATGCCCCTGGTACCTTTTTCATAGACTTTTTTGAGTTTGGGCAAGGACACAGGGGCCCCATGATCCCCTATTGCCCGGGGGCCCCATGAGTTGTCAGTCCACCCCTGGTATATACATTGTAGCAGCCTGTACCTTGTCCTCCTTGATTGACTTCTGTTAGCAGCTGGCCTGATTTTGTTAGAGCGATCCCGGGTGTGTCCATCAACTTTCCATCATCCTCCATCAACCTTTCCTCCATTACTGGTCACTGACCATTTCCCTCCATCTCCCCCGCATCGCCCCTCCACCATTATTTCCGTCCCTTGCTTTGCTCCGTGTTTTCTGCTCCTCCTCCATGTTCCGTGTTTTCTGCTCCTCCTCCATGTTCCGTGTTTTCTGCTCCTCCTCCATGTTCCGTGTTTTCTGCTCCTCCTCCATGTTCCGTGTTTTCTGCTCCTCCTCCTCCATGTTCCGTGTTTTCTGCTCCTCCTCCATGTTCCGTGTGGATTCACAATTGTGCTGCTGTGACAAATGAATTTTACTTCCCGCTGACTTTCTTACATGAAATAAAAGGACACTTAAATGACAATCAAGATTTGATTAGCGTCGGCTGAGCTTCCATTTCCAGCAAAGACGATTCTAACTCGCCGAACTTTCCTTGCAACAGGAAGCTGCGCACAGCCAGCTCCACCCATAATGGGGACCAATCCAGCACAGGCAAGGGAGGCCGCCATATTGGACTGGGTCAGTATTTAAAAAAAAAACATTCCTCTCTGGGTGATCAATATACACTATCATGTGACTCAGGTGTCCCCTCCCCTCCATATCATGTGACTCAGGTGTCCCCTCCCCTCCATATCATGTGACTCAGGTGTTCCAATCCCCTCCAATCATGTGATTCAGGTGTCCCCTCCCCTCCCTATCATGTGATTCAGGTGTTCCAATCCCCTCCACATCATGTGATTCAGGTGTTCCAATCCCTTCCAATCATGTGATTCAGGTGTTCCAATCCCCTCCAATCATGTGATTAAGGTGTTCCAATCCCCTTCACATCTTGTGATTCAGGTGTTCCAATCCCTTCCAATCATGTGATTCAGGTGTTCCAATCCCCTCCCAATCATGTGATTCAGGTGTTCCAATCCCCTCCATATCATGTGATTCAGGTGTTCCAATCCCCTCCATATGTGACTCAGGTGTTCCAATCCTCTCCCAATCATGTGATTCAGGTGTTCCCTCCCCTCCATATCATGTGATTCAGGTGTTCCAATCCTCTCCATATCATGTGATTCAGGTGTTCCAATCCTCTCCATATCATGTGATTCAGGTGTTCCAATCCCCTCCCAATCATGTGATTCAGGTGTTCCAATCCCCTCCATATCATGTGATTCAGGTGTTCCAATCCCCTCCATATCATATGATTTCAGGTGTTCCAATCCCCTCCCAATCATGTGATTCAGGTGCTCCAATCCCTTCCATATCATGTGATTCAGGTGCTCCAATCCCCTCCATGGACACAGGTGTATACAATCAAGCCCCTAGGCATGCAGACGGCTTCTACAAACATTGGTGAAAGAATGGGTCGCTCTCAGGAGCTCAGTGACTCCAAGCGTGGTCCCGTGATAGGTGGCCACCTGGGCAATAAGTCCATCCGTGACATTTCCTGGCTACTAAATATTCCACGCTCAACTGTTAGTGGGATTATAACAAAGTGGAAGCCACTGGGAACAACAGCCACTCAGCCACCAAGCGGTAGGCCACATCACATGACAGGGCAGGGTCAGCGCATGCTGAAGCGCACAGTGCGCAGAAGTCGCCAACTGTCTGCAGAGTCAATAGCTAAAGACCTCCAAACTTGGTGTGGCCTTCAGATGAGACCCAACAACAGTGCGTAGAGAGCTTCATGGAATGGGTTTCCATGGCCGAGCAGCTGCATCCAAGCCTTCCATCACCAAGTGCAATGCAAAGCGCCGGATGGTGTGGTGTAAAGCACGCCGCCACTGGACTCTAGAGCAGTGGAGTCCCAAGTGGGATCTCTATTGGGTCCTAAGTAAGATCTCTACTGGGTCCTAGGAGGGATCTCTACTGGGTTCCAAGTGGGTCCTAAGTGGGATTTCTATTGGGTCCTAAGTGAGATCTCTAGTTGGGCCTAAGTGGGATCTCTATTGGGTCCTAAGGAAGATCTCTATTGGGTCCTAAGTGGGATCTCTATTGGGTTCTAAGGAAGATCTCTATTGAGTCCTAAAGGAGATCTCTATTGGGTCCTAAGTGGGATCTCTATTGGGACCTAAGTGGGATCTCTATTCAGTCCTAAGTGGGATCTCTATTGGGGCCTAAGTGGGATCTCTATTGGGACCTAAGTGGGATCTCTATTCGGTCCTAAGTGGGATCTCTATTGGGTCCTAAGTGGGATCTCTATTCGGTCCTAAGTGGGATCTCTATTCGGTCCTAAGTGGGATCTCTATTCGGTCCTAAGCGGGATCTCTATTGGGTCCTAAGCGGGGATCTCTATTGGGTCCTAAGCGGGATCTCTATTGGGTCCTAAGCGGGATCTCTATTGGGACCTAAGCGGGATCTCTATTGGGACCTAAGCGGGATCTCTATTGGGTCCTAAGAGGGATCTCTATTGGGACCTAAGTGGGATCTCTGTTGGGTCCTAAGTGGGACCTCTGTTGGGTCCTAAGTGGGATCTCTGTTGGGTCCTAAGTGGGATCTCTATTGGGGCCTAAGTGGGATCTCTGTTCGGTCCTAAGTGGGATCTCTGTTGGGTCCTAAGTGGGACCTCTGTTGGGTCCTAAGTGGGATCTCTATTGGGGCCTAAGTGGGATCTCTGTTGGGTCCTAAGTGGGACCTCTGTTGGGTCCTAAGTGGGATCTCTGTTGGGTCCTAAGTGGGACCTCTGTTGGGTCCTAAGTGGGATCTCTATTGGGTCCTAAGTGGGATCTCTATTGGGGCCTAAGTGGGATCTCTGTTGGGTCCTAAGTGGGACCTCTGTTGGGTCCTAAGTGGGATCTCTGTTGGGTCCTAAGTGGGACCTCTGTTGGGTCCTAAGTGGGACCTCTGTTGGGTCCTAAGTGGGATCTCTGTTGGGTCCTAAGTGGGACCTCTGTTGGGTCCTAAGTGGGATCTCTGTTGGGTCCTAAGTGGGATCTCTGTTGGGTCCTAAGTGGGACCTCTGTTGGGTCCTAAGTGGGATCTCTATTGGGGCCTAAGTGGGATCTCTGTTGGGTCCTAAGTGGGACCTCTGTTGGGTCCTAAGTTGGATCTCTGTTGGGTCCTAAGTGGGACCTCTGTTGGGTCCTAAGTGGGACCTCTGTTGGGTCCTAAGTGGGATCTCTATTGGGGTCCTAAGTGGGATCTCTATTGGGTCCCTAAGTGGGATCTCTATTGGGGCCTAAGTGGGATCTCTATTGGGTCCTAAGTGGGATCTCTGTTGGGTCCTAAGTGGGACCTCTGTTGGGTCCTAAGTGGGATCTCTGTTGGGTCCTAAGTGGGACCTCTGTTGGGTCCTAAGTGGGACCTCTGTTGGGGCCTAAGTGGGATCTCTGTTGGGTCCTAAGTGGGATCTCTGTTGGGTCCTAAGTGGGACCTCTGTTGGGTCCTAAGTGGGATCTCTATTGGGTCCTAAGTGGGATCTCTGTTGGGTCCTAAGTGGGACCTCTGTTGGGTCCTAAGTGGGATCTCTGTTGGGTCCTAAGTGGGACCTCTGTTGGGTCCTAAGTGGGACCTCTGTTGGGTCCTAAGTGGGATCTCTGTTGGGTCCTAAGTGGGATCCTCTGTTGGGTCCTAAGTGGGATCTCTGTTGGGTCCTAAGTGGGACCTCTGTTGGGTCCTAAGTGGGATCTCTGTTGGGTCCTAAGTGGGACCTCTGTTGGGTCCTAAGTGGGATCTCTGTTGGGTCCTAAGTGGGACCTCTGTTGGGTCCTAAGTGGGACCTCTGTTGGGTCCTAAGTGGGATCTCTATTGGGTCCTAAGTGGGATCTCTATTGGGGCCTAAGTGGGATCTCTATTGGGTCCTAAGTGGGATCTCTGTTGGGGTCCTAAGTTGGGATCTCTATTGGGGCCTAAGTGGGATCTCTGTTGGGTCCTAAGTGGGATCTCTGTTGGGTCCTAAGTGGGACCTCTGTTGGGTCCTAAGTGGGATCTATTGGGTCCTAAGTGGGATCTCTATTGGGTCCTAAGTGGGACCTCTATTGGGGCCTAAGTGGGATTTCTATTGGGTCCTAAGTGGGACCTCTGTTGGGTCTAAGTGGGGTTGGGTCTAAGTGGGATCTCTATTGGGTCCTAAGTGGGACCTCTATTGGGTCCTAAGTGGGACCTCTGTTGGGTCCTAAGTGGGCTCTCTATTGGGGCCTAAGCGGGACCTCTGTTGGGTTCCACCAAGAGACCAAGGTGGCAGAAAGCCTGGAACCTTCTGAAACAAATGTTTTCTGCCTTGGAAGGGAGGGGAGGGGGCCAGTCTGCACCAGGAAAGGGAACCGACGTTTGATTCGTCACCAGTAAGGAGAACGCCCAAACTGCTTCCAATGCAAAACTGCCCGTCTCTTCCTTTACCGAAATCATTGAAATTAGTTTCAGATCGAACTCCTTGTCGCCGAGCGCACACAAATGTGCAGCCTGTCGGGGGCTGGGCCTTGGCACTGAGGGGCCACATATTTGTGTACTCAATGTAAACAACAGATGTGCCGATAGTGCGTGCCGCATGCTCCCGCCACATTTACTGGCGCCTCACAGAAGGTCCCGATCGCTGCTTGTGGTGAGGACCTTCCCAATCATGTGACCACCGTGACAGCCAATCATGGCACTCACATGACCTGCACCCAGCCCCGCCTCCCAGCGTCACAAACCCCTTAAAGGGACGGGAGGGGCCAAGGGGTCAAATAAGCCATGGGGACTGTTTAGCAGAAATGGTCTTGATAGATTTGTTGCTGAGCAGAGGGTTGGGGTCCCCCTGTCAGTGTTGGATGGAGGGGGTGAGACCCCCTGTCAGTGTTGGATGGATGGGGTGAGACCCCCTGTCAGTGTTGGGGTAGAGGGGTGAGACCCCCTGTCAGTGTTAGATGGAGGGGTGAGAACCCCTGTAAGTGTTGGATGGGGGGGTGAGACCCCCTGTCAGTGTTGGATGGAGGGGGTGAGACCCCCTGTCAGTGTTGAATGGAGGGGGTGAGACCCCCTGTCAGTGTTGGATGGAGGGGGTGAGACCCCCTGTCAGTGTTGGATGGAGGGGGTGAGAACCCCCTGTCAGTGTTGGATGGAGGGGGTGAGACCCCCTGTAAGTGTTGGATGGGGGGTGAGACCCCTGTAAGTGTTGGATGGGGGGTGAGAACCCCCCTGTAAGTGTTGGATGGGGGGTGAGACACCCTGTCAGTGTTGGATGGGGGGTAAGACCCCCTGTCAGTGTTGGATGGAGGGGTGAGACACCCTGTCAGTGTTGGATGGGGGGTGAGACCCCCTGTCAGTGTTGGATGGGGGGGTGAGAACCCCTGTCAGTGTTGGATGGGGGGTGAGAACCCCTGTAAGTGCCCCCCTGTAAGTGTTGGATGGAGGGGGTGAGACCCCCTGTAGTGTTGGATGGGGGGGTGAGAACCCCTGTAAGTGTTGGATGGAGGGGGTGAGACCCCTGTAAGTGTTGGATGGAGGGGGGGTGAGACCCCCTGTCAGTGTTGGATGGAGGGGGTGAGACCCCCTGTCAGTGTTGGATGGGGGGTGAGACCCCCTGTCAGTGTGGATGGAGGGGTGAGACCCCCTGTTAAGTGTTGGATGGGGTGAGACCTCCCTGTCAGTGTTGGATGGAGGGGTGAGAACCCCTGTCAGTGTTGGATGGGGGGTGAGACCCCCTGTCAGTGTTGGATGGGGGGGGGGTGAGAGTCAGTGTTGGATGGGGGGGTGAGACCCCCTGTCAGTGTTGGATGGGGGGTGAGACCCCCTGTCAGTGTTGGATGGGGGGGTGAGACCCCCTGTCAGTGTTGGATGGGGGGGTGAGACCCCCCTGTCAGTGTTGTGTTGAGACCCCCTGTCATGTTGGATGGGGGGTGAGACCCCCTGTCAGTTGGATTGAGACCGCCTGTCAGTGTTGGATGGGGGTGAGACCCCCTGTCAGTGTTGGATGGGGGGTGAGACCCCCTGTCAGTGTTGGATGGGGGTGAGACCCCCTGTCAGTGTTGGATGGGGGGGTGAGACCCCCTGTCAGTGTTGGATGGGGGGTGAGACCCCTGTCAGTGTTGGATGGGGGTGAGAGACCCCCTGTCAGTGTTGGATGGGGGGTGAGACCCCCGTGGGGGTTGGATGCGGGGTGAGACCCCCTGTCAGTGTTGGATGGGGGTGAGACCCCCTGTCAGTGTTGGATGGGGGGGTGAGACCCCCTGTCAGTGTTGGATGGGGGGGTGAGACCCCCTGTCAGTGTTGGATGGGGGGGTGAGACCCCCTGTCAGTGTTGGATGGGGGGTGAGACCCCCTGTCAGTGTTGGATGGGGGGGTGAGACCCCCTGTCAGTGTTGGATGCGGGGTGAG